GTCCAAGACCAAGGCCACAAGAGTCTGCAGGGAAGCCAGATCGTACACTTCTTCGCTGTTGTATCCGTACCTGGTCTCGTGATCACACTTTGTCGCAGACTCGCAGGTCGTTTCCCGCTAACATTTTTTTACCGAGTTTTATTTTCCTGATCTACGATCGCGAAATTGCGATGAGCTGCTCCAAGTCTGAGAATGTTTTAGGGATGGGCTGGCTGGGCGCGCGCCGTGTTACGTTGCCGCTTGCCGAACGTCTGCCGCAAACATGGCCCTGTTGCGTTGCGAGCGTCCAACCCGTTGTGAAAAAAAAAAAAAAAAAAAAAAAAGAAAGGATGGGGGTTACCGCCTGGAGTTCATGCGGTGATCCAACAAGGGGAAGGGGGAAAACAGGAGGCTCTGCTTGTTGTTCAGGACCACAATGTCGTATCAGCATCCGAGCGTTCTCTATTTTCTCCGTTTTCCATGTGACCAACGCGTCTAGGCTCTTCAACGTCAACGTCGTTTCTTTCAACTGCTTTGTTGTCGCGATGATGCAAATGATGACGCCGGTGTCCTCCCCCCTCTTCTCCCCACCATCACCGCCGTTATAGTATGAGCCGGGGGGGGGATGAGTGAGTCAATACATGGGACGAAGAGGGACGGTGGATATTCCATCTATCTCGAGAGAGATTGACGAACGGTGAGCGTGGGTAAATAGAGTACCACACATATACGAGCCGCCGGCTATAGTGTTCCTAATTCTGGCAAAAGGAAGAAAAAAAGAGATAATATCGATCATTATGGCCGTCCCTCCGTCAGGTAGAGGTATCATCCATGGAGGAGCCACGATGGCTCTGCCCTGCCTCGGCATCTCCCATACGAGGACGCGCAGGGATTTGGCCGGCGAGACTGGAGGAGGGATGTCTCTGGTTGTCAAGAACAGGATTTTCGCCCACACTCAAATGAAAATGAGCAGTTCAAAGGAAGAAAGGTTCCCTGACAAGACAACCCGACCACCCTTCCACCCCCCAGTCTATCTCTTGGTGCCCCCCCTCGGTTTCTCTTTCTCTCTGGCCGGCCTGCCGGCCTGGGAGACTCTGGAATGTTGCCATTAGGTGTGGCTTGTCAATCTTGTCTCTGGTTCCTAGTATTGCCACGAGGTCGGGGGGTGAAGGTGTCGATCGAATTCCCTAGCCGCTTTCAACCTGTCAAGCGATAAACCTTGGGTGCCAGCTGGGAGATTGGCTTTTTTTCTAAGATCAACCCACCGGAAAAGAGAGGATCTTTTCATTGGACTCGTGATGATGAGCCCTCTCTGTTCAAGAAAATGTAGCGAGCCGTCATCCAGTGAGAATTGTGAATCGGAGTGACTGGCAACCTAATCCCTGGCAAGACGAGGGTCTCAGAATGGAGACGAACGTTGAATTTTCCCACGGGACTGGCTACGACGCGTCTCCCCCCTCTGCTCGGTCAGCCGCCGACAGATGAAAGCCTGTGCCTATAGAAGTGGGTGGGCGGCTCTTTGTACGTGGTACGGGATATCCGTAGTATAGTTCAAACTGAGCCTGAAAGACGGAAACCTCCATTTTCGTTCGTCCAAAGGTCCCTTGTTTTGGGAGAGAGAGAGAATGAACTCGATGGAGAAGTTGCAAAATCTAGATTGGGTGCAGCTCCATAGTGGCTCTTACCGAGTTAGGTAGGGGGGCCCATCATTGTCTACGGATACTGAGCACTATGTACGGTACCTGTTTCTCACAAATGAAATGAAGGTCTCCATCCTGTCTGCCTGCCTGCCCGCGCGCAACTGAATACCGCAATTGGGGGTCCGGCGGCGAGACCGAGGCAAGAAGTTTGGCCTGAGAAGTTGAAAATAGTGAGAGAGTGGACTCGAGAAGAAGGAGAAACTACAGGCGGCCGCAGCGTTTCGTTGCCGCCGAGGGTGAGGAGCCACAAAGAAGGCTGTGTTCAGTCACGGCGTGTTCAGAAGGGCAAAGACAGCGAAAGGAAAGGCGTGTATCCTGAGCATGTTTTGGCGGCTAAGGCCGGAGCCGCGGAAGGGTCACAAAGGGCGGCGGCGGCTTTTTTTCTGCTCGAAAAGATGGTGGTTCAAACTGAAACCGGTGGTTGGCTGGTGATGGCCGCATCTAGAAAAGGGCACGAACGGGCAAATGCAGGCTGTGGCAGTGACACGTCGCGCAAGCCGTCGTCGCGGCAAGAAGGAAGGGATGGTCTTCTAGGTAACTTCGTGAGTCCGTAGGTAGTGACCGCAGACGCACGAAGTATGGTTCAGAAACATCATGTTCTAGACTGTGTACTGCGTAGGACAGCTCAAGTCGGTGGGCTTGGTCTTAATGATTGAAGACCCAGTTGGATATTGGTCTGGTTCACCAGATCGGCTACATGTCAATTGTCAAATGAGAAAGCACGGTCTCCGATGATGATGTTCTATAGTGGGCTTGGAATGATGGAATGATCTGCAATCGACATTTGCCAGACTGACTCTCCACGAACCCACGGGAACCCACGATCCCGGCCGAGAGTCAGTCGGAATTTGCCCACACAAATTTGAGTGGAGGGTATTTTGGGTTTTCGTGAGGAATGTATTATGGACTGGAATTGCTGACTGTACAGAGCACACGAATATCCGTACTCCGTGCCACCTGGGCAAGGAATCCAAGAAGCACAGCACCACAAGGCACAAGCAGCACCAGAGTCTCGGTATTTCGTTGCAAGGGTGGATGGGAAGCAAGCCAGGGAAAGACAAGCAAGGGGAAAAAAAAAAAAGCACAGGACGCCAGGAGGCTCTCGCCTCCAGAGATGAGCCAGCCTCTGCGCCAAAAGTAGCAGCAGGCAATAGTAAATACTGGGAACGGCTAGGGGACCCAGGACGAGATCTGACAGCCCAGAGACGAGGCCGCCGCCGAGGGCAGGACAGGACGACGGCGGCTGTCCGGTTACAGAGTTCAGACTCTTTTTCGATCTTACCGCCTCAGCGAAATAGAGAGCAAAAGACGGAAACCTCCATTGGGTAGGGCAATACAAGACAAGGGGGGTCGGGAGTTCGCGCTGGCACTCGAGGTGCTAACAGGAAACATTGGTGGTGATTGGGCGTTGCGCACCGCAACTTTGCGCCCAGTCCTGGCGGCGTTGAGCTATGTTCCTTTTTGACATGCCTGTCATTTTCCTTCTAGTCTTTGCATTACTCCGTATGGTATTAAAGATTTCCGTATTACAGGTACAGATGGCTTGAGAGCCCGTGTCTGTAGTGTGTATGATCGCTGTGACCGTTTGTGTGTAATAAGTGTGTGTGTGTGTGTGCGTGTGATATGTAAACCTGTCACTGCATATCACTGAGAAGCCAGCTTGATAGGTCGGTTTGGAGTTCTCAGGTCAGCAATTTCAAACACATGGCGTTCTTTTCGTAGTGAAGTGGAACAACCAACGCATACGAAGGAGGTGGAAGGGCAGAGAGGTATTTCGCTGAGCCTTGAGGCACATAGACACACACTAAGGTAGAGACTGAAAGTGAGCCGGAAATAAGCACCCATCAATCGAAGACGGAATCCCGCCGCCACTGCGATGGCGCATTGCTATTCCTGCGTGTATGTAGTATGTATATGTTCCCCTGGCAGATCTCTTTCCTGTCTGGAGATTGCGATGCGGCACCAACGCCGGCACCAGCTTCATCAGGGACAAGAACCCCAAGCAGTGGCGAGAAATGACGGAACACTTTATATGTGCAGCAGGCCAGCATCTTTAGTGTTGAATAGTTTCTGATCGACAACTCTACCTGTGTGACTACAACTCTGGGTGAGGCAAGCAACGGCAACGGACAAACAGGTATACAAACGGATACGGGATACACATTGGATAGATCCATGAGCCCGTGAACCATGAACCCGGACCAGCAATGGTGAAGACTGAAAAGGCCGAGAGGCAAAATGGATGAAATGAACTGAATCCAACCAGCCAGGTACGTACCGAGGCTGCACGGCAGCAGTGACCGAATTGGAACTCCCCGGCGTGCCATTGGTCCAAAATTGGCGCCGACCTCTAGACGACGGGCGACTACAAGGCGCATGCACGCGACTGGGACTGCGGACCTTTTTTTTCCTTTCTTCTTTCTCCATTCGGACTTGGTAAGTTGGTCCTGAGGGTGGGCTATTAATAGACCCCGGTCACGTTTCGCAAAATACGCTCCAGTCACGACGAAGCCCCAGTGCCCCACTCCATGGGGAGACCCAGGTACACAGGGACTCAGGGGATCACTCGCAACAAGCCCCAAGCCATAAACCCCACTTATTCCGTCCTGGGAAGTGGTGTGGTTGGGCGGCTCCACTTGCGCTGGGCGGCCACTCGCCAATCCTCTCTTTCCCTCTCACACACACAGCAGGTGCGCACCACACACATGCTCTCTCCTGCCGCCTTCTCAATCGCGGGGGACCACAGAAACTTGCACGAGAAGAAGGAGGACTTGGTTGAATTGGTGAATTACAAGACCAAGCTGACAGAGATCTGACTCTGAGAGACATAGTGAAGAGGAGGGTCCAGGCCTAGAAGCCGGTTTTGGGCCAGTCATTGCCGTTCCTCTGCATCTTGCAGCGCAGCAGCCAGCGGCAGCGGAACACCGGATTCTAGCCTTTGCCCCTCCACCCTCGTTTGCCCATCAGCATCAGTCAGTCCAGACTCCAGACTCCCAGCCAGACAAACGTGCTGATGTTCGGTTGCCTTCTGTGCTGCTTGTTCTCTGCATATTGCAGGTGTCAGGTCAGAGTCACCACATTGTGTCCGTCTGTCCATTCGTTGCAGCGACATGCCGTATTGACGATGACAGAGCGGGCAGTTCGATACAGACTACTACTCTGATAGCCCGTGGACAATATACTAGGCTTGGTCGCGCGATGGTGCCCACGGCTCTAAAACAACAGCAAATCAACCCAAGGACGGGCACCAGTCCAAGTCCTCGTCAATGGCGGCGGGCTAGTTCACGGCTCTCGCGTAGTGACCTCCGGCTACAGCCTACGCCCTCGCATACTGGAGCTAAGGGGGTAGCGCTTGCGCAGACGAGGCCGTAGACGAGGCCGCACTAACAAGTCTCGATCTGACCCCTCCGCCAGCCAGCACTACTTTGTTTTGTCGAGATGGGTTCCATCTTGTGCCTGTCTGTGCCCGGTGCCTTGCTCTCTCCTCCTCATCTTGCCTTGCCTTGCCCTGCCTCGCCTTTGCAGCCTACCTTACTTGGGCTGTCTTCACGTTGTAGGTATCCATCCATACTCCGTACCCATACGCGCGATGGGTTCTGGACAGCATTCTGTGACAAAAGGTGCTGGCCGGTGACCAGACAGGGAATTCTGTCACTTGCATCGAGTTCTCTCCAGTCTTGTCCCGTTCCTTGCTCACTCCACTACCTTAGCACTGAGTACTCCGTACGGGTCCAGACTTGCCAGTTGCTGGTGGTTTTTGTCCTCTCACCGTTTTACGTCTACGTTGTGTGTCGACTACTATGCCAGATACATTGGTGAGAAGGGAATAGGTAGGGTATCCGTAGTCACTCTTGAGAGATCCAATGCTTGGTGTTCTATTCGTAAATTGCTACTTAATGTGATCCGTACTTTACCTTGACCTGAGAAAACAAAAAGGTAGGTACAGGAAGGGAAAAGGTACGTCCCTTGGTAATCCTTACCACCCAGACACTTTTGCTAGGTGAACCTCAGACAGAAGGCGACAGAGAGAGGGGGGACGAGGCATGGTAAGATAGGTACGTACCGAGAACCAGCCGCAGCGGAGCCTAAGTGGAAAGGCAGGAAGTGCAAGGTAAGGTTTCCATAGGTACCTCTTGCCGCATGCTTCCCCCCTACGGTACCTTGGTCTCTACTGCACAGTACCTTCCTCCGTAGTATCCCAGGGAAAGGAAGGACCCCTGCCCTGGTCGCCCTTCGCCCTCAGCCAGCAACTTGATCCTGGGCTGGGGGGACCCTCCCACCACCCGTTGGCCTTCCTTGAGACCTTGACCAGCATCTCCAGGCCAAACCTAGCCCGTCCATGTTCGACGAGGGCAACTGACTGGGCGACGGACGGCTTGTCTTTCACTCTCCGCTTGGTTGTCGCTTGCGTGCAGGCCTTCCTTCACCTTCAGGTTCTCACGTCTGCACTCTCTCTGCCACGGCCCACCCCCCTCCCCCCAAAGAGAAAGAGCAACAGCAACAGCAAGAGCCCCAAGGGCCCCTGTCCCTCTTTCCTTCCCCTTCCAGTTGTTGGCCCATCCCCAACTCTACCTTACCTGAGGTACTCTCTCGAATCCTTCCCACGTCCGCCATTCACCTCAACTTTCAACCACTTCACGTCTCTCTTCCACCATTTTCCCTTCTTCTCACCCCAATCCCAAACCACCACACACACCCCTCTTCTCTTATTCACCACCTCCCCTTATTCTCTATTCTACGGATACTCTGCCGCCTTTCAATCCAAGCAAATCCAATCCAGCTACAGTATCCTTCTTGCTTCAACCACCTTACCTTATACTCACCTTACGCATACCCGCCTGGCGATTTCTATGCATCCGTATTGATCGGACCGTGCCACATCTCTTTCCCACCAACAGCATGTGCTAACCCCGAGCCGCCGTTTTCGTCGTGACCACTAGCCATTGTTTTCTCTCTTCTCCATTTCTCTGCCATCACCAACCAAACTTGCTACTCTTCTTCCCCTCCGTCCTCCTCTATCCTCCTTCCTACCTCGCGAACCACCACGACGACGATCATTCTAGTACTCTTGCCCACTACCCACCAGGGCCCCCGCCGCATACGAATACTCGACTGACCTATTCCTGTCGCGAGACTGGTCACCTGCCCTGCGCACCCTGCGGCACCGCCCCGAGTACGAGGAGGAGTTAGAGAACAGAGAGACACTTCGGTCCTGCCGAGAGACTTGGACCACCACAACCACCCCGCCGACGACGAGGACACAAAAGCATCCACGGGATTCAGCAGCGCTGTCCTCCGATCTACAATCAATCGCCCGCCCGCTCGCCTGCTCACCGGCCTTTTCTTCCCATTCTACAAACTTCAATCGCGACTTTCGCTCCTTCCACGCCAAAGGCCGCAACCATTTCTTTAATCATTACGCCAACGTTGCCCCTCGCGGCCTACACCGTCTCGTCCCCCGAGACTGCCGCCAACACGTTTCCCTCGCGCAAGAGAAGAGAAAGAGAGAAGGGATTCGGGCAGCCCATTCAAAAGGTACACAGAACCATGCCGTCAGCAGCGGCAAGAAGGATCTACGAAGATCAAATCCCCTCTTTCATGTCAGTCTTCGATCTCGACGCAGAGACAATCGCTGCTCAAGAAACCGTCACCCTCGTCGACCCCAAATTGATCGAGATGGAGGCCACCGGAAAGCCCTTGGCCAATCCGGTCCAGTCCTTGCGACCGACCATGGATCACTCTCACAAGCACCACGACAGCACCTCTACTCAAGCCTCTGAGTCTGCCGAGTCTTCGCCCACAACGACGCTCTCAACAAGCGACTGCTCCCCGCTCTCGGACCCGTCCCCTTCATCATCCCCCGATTCTCCCGTCAACTTGATACCCCTCAACTCCTTCCCGGCCACATCCTTTGGCGGCCTTGGCCCATTGTCCTCAATGAACACCATGTCAGCGGCAGAAACCACTAGCTTCGGTCGTCCGATGACGTCCCCTTCGCCGCGTCGTCCTAAGAACATGAAGGGACTTTCAATTCAGCCGCCTTTCATGGGAAACAGCGCCTCAACACTGGTTTCCGAGCCCGCATCGCCCTCCTTCATCAAACCAACCATTCCAGCAATGAAGCGCAAGCCTAGTCAGCTCAGCCTCAAGACTCAAACCTCAGATCTGGTCATGCGAAACACCCTCGAGATCCCTGGCACCCCCGGCATGGCTCCCATTTTGCAACGACGAGCTCTCAAGCACTCTACTTCGTCACCTCACATGCTGCCCTCGCTGAAGTCTGCGACTTTTGGCCCTCCGGGTGGAATGACTTTCCCCAAGGTTCTGGAAAGAAATGAGTCGGGTCTTTCAGAGTTTTTGAGGCCGACAAAGACTGGCATGGGTCAGTCGTTCGACACGACAATCGTTGAGGAGGATTCGCCCATTAGAACTCAGCTCGCGAGCCGCGCCGCCCTCGACTTCGAACCCTACCACGAGAACGAGAACAATGAGGACCAGAAGACGCCGGGTTATCCGGATGGCCCCATTGCAATTTACGAAGACAACGTCTACCTGTACTTGGAGCCGACCGCCGACGAAGCCTCCAAATTTGACACCGTCATCAATGTCGCGCGGGAAGTTAACAACCCCTTCAACTTCTTGCCCAAGTCAGACGAGGTCATGTCAGACTCTCCAGCTGTCCTCAGTCCCATTCCTGACACAGCTGTGTCAAACGCTAGCTTTTCTACCGCCTTTGAGTTCCCGACCAACGACAGACCGGAAACACCGACAACACCCAAGGCCATGTCATTCTCTATCAAGCGCCCAGAGTACATTCACATGCCCTGGGATCACAACACGGATATTGCGCAGGATCTGATGCACCTCTGCGAGACAATTGAAACACGGACGAAGGAGGGCAAGAAGGTGCTCGTCCACTGCCAGCAAGGCGCAAGTCGATCCGCCAGTCTTATTATTGCTTACGGCCTGTACCGCAACCCTGAGCTCAGCGTCAACGACGCTTACTACGCTGCCCAGGAGAAGAGCAAGTGGATCAGCCCCAACATGAAGCTCATGTATTGCTTGCAGGATTTCCAGAAGCAGATGTCGAAGAAGAAGACGTCACCCGGATCAGCCTTCCGCCCGCGCACAGGACGCAGCCCTACGAAGCACCGCCTGACACTCTCTGCAGACGCGGCCATTGACATCGCACCCAAAGAGCCTTTGACGGCTCCTCTGCCTGGAGAGAAGGAAGGAAGCTCTGGAAGTTCGAGCCCGAAGAAGGGCAGCCCTACCCGTGCCAGAGGCCACTCAACGCCCGGCAGTCAGCCAATCTCGCCTGGTCCATCTTCAGCGCCATCAAGCTTCTCCTGGTCAGAAAAGGAAAACGACGATTCTGCCAAATTTGGAAACTTTGACGTTGATCGCTTGATGCCTTTCAAGCCTACGCCGCCAGTCTCGGGCCTTGCACCTCCATCGTCATCATCGTTCTTTGCCAAGCCGCCGCCGTCGCCTGGCCCGCCCCCTTCTCCCGGATTTGGAGCTCACCGATTCGGCCCTGCCACTGGCTTTGGATTTTCTAGCCTGAACCTTGGCCCATCACTGGAAGGCGAAGAGGAAGTTGCAGCTCCCAAAGATAGACACTTCATGGTTGGCGCGGTTCCCGACGACGCGGCTCTCTTGTCACCCCGGGCCGAGACGATGACGAAGAACCCGCTGCACGACTCCAATCACGGATTTCCAGGCATGCAGTTTGTCGAGGTTCCGCCAACTCCAAGCGAAGGTCTGTTCTCGCCTAGAGAAACAATGTTCCCCAGGGATCCTTTCTACCCCTTCGGACGCCCCACCCAGGTTGCCGACCCGCGCAGTCCGCCTACAAAAGGTGAAACGCCAATTGTGAGGTCTATTGATGAGCTGCTATGACCGCAGCCAGGACGGCACACACCGCCACTAGTCACTAGCACCAAACGCCCCGGGACCGAACTACCTCGGCGGTACTCGGCCGAACTTTGACTATTGTTGCTATTTTTTGCGACATGGACTAGTCAAATACACGTGCATTGCGACGATGCATCGACCCTCGTTGCAATCAATACGAAGTTGACGGACACCGAGGCCTTGGACGATATCCGAAACAAGTGCACGCCAAACAGACGAGCATCTCGATTTGTCAATCGGTCAAATGTCAGTTACATCGTCAATGGCAAAGGACCGATCAGGAGGACAACAGTGGAACTCGCCAACCATTGTGTGGGCGTGCATACTTTCCAAATCATACGAACACCAGCCAAGCTCAATGGTGCACCCACCTTGAGTTGGCGTCTCTTTTGTCGATTTCAAGCCTTTTTTTCAGAGCGCAGCGAGTGGCGAAATAATTTCGTCACATAACCACTTTGCGGAAAAAGTACCCTACAACCATAAACCAAAATGTGTAATTTAGAATTGCGTCCTCACAACGCAAATATTGAAACGGAAAAGATGGGAGACACGTCTCATCGCTTGGACATGGACAGTCAAGGACAACCGGGGATCGGCCATCTTTCTTGCAATCGTTTATTGGCGTGCCCACTTTGGACGAGGGAGTTGGAAGGGATTTTGGTACAGGCTTTTTTACCTCATGAGGCACTTTCCCAACGGGGGCCGGCTCACTTGGAAAGAGGGAACGGCCGTGAGGAATACTCACAAAGACACCATGCTATTTTCTTGTGTTTGAGGCTTGGGTTTTCTTTTTCTTTTCCTTTCAATGCGGTCCATCTACGGATGAGTCTGCCGCAACGCATATGGAGTCCAAAGGAAAGTAGGAGAGGATGAGACGAGGATACCATAACTGCATGCATGGATGGGGTGGAGGGGGAGCGAGGTAGATGAATTGTAAAAAACGAAGAGCCATACTAAGTATGCATTATCAAGTGCTTCTGATTGTTACCATGTGAATGTGATGCTATGTACAAGTGATTCACACCAGTACAGCAAGGTGTGTGTTAAAACCTAACATCTTTTTCATTTCTTGGTGGGCAAGGCGCTAGACTGTACAAAACAATGTTCAGAGACAGAGCTCACAGGCGGCGTTGGCAATGTCTCAAAGCTCCCATCCTTGTCTTGATATGTAAAGCGTTGTACTTGTCTGACGTTCAACGTCTCTACAAAAGTACCTCACAGCCTCTACATCGTCAGGCTTCTTCTATCCACCCTCCTATTAGTCTCAGCGGCGTGTGTGAGTGGGTCAACTTCTCGTCTTGCTACATTTGTGTAGATGAAGGAGTTCAGGTATGTCGAAGGCGTAAAAAAGTGTGGATTACAGAGAAGCAGAAAGTGAGATGGAGACGTGGGGGTATTACAGAGAGAAATAATGCGAATTGTTTTGTCTTGCTCTCTTTCCCCCCCTTCTTGCATAAGAACTGGATATTGAATCTTCATGTCACTTGCGCGCGCGCGCGCGCGTCTCTGTGTGGTAGGTAGTCTGGTGCTGGCTTCAGGGTTCGGTGAAGGGATTAACGATGAGTGATTTGAGCGAAAACGTTGAGAAATCTCCATCTGTATGGTTCAGCTCATGACATGGCGCGTTCGAGCCGAGAGAACTTCAACAGAGTGCATTTTCCGGATCTACGTTGAGCAAGACCTTTACCGTTTTACCTCTTGAAGCACTCACATACATGGATACATTCATTACCCTCGACCCCCCTCTCTTTGCTACTGAGAAGAGAGACGGGAAGTATCTTAGTCCGTGAGGCTGGAGAGACGGGGAAGAGGTTGAAAAGCATTGGTGAGGCGATTGGATCAAGATTCATCATACTCAATGTCGAAAGAGGAAGAAGATAAATCGTATATGTATAAATAAAAGTCTCAGATCTTTCAACTTTACTCAGTGTATGTCTATACTAGGAATAACGCCAACCAAACGCCTGCCTCCGACTTTGAGGCGTTTCCTTTTTCAAGTCTTTTTGTACGATGTCTTGTTATTTACAGGCTTTAGAGAAAAGGGTTGGTTGTTGCTTTTTTCCTGTTGGGGGCCCCTCCGAGAAAGAAATGAGTGGTCTTTGTGATGGGAACCACAGGACTAGTGGGGTTTTGGGATGTCTCGAAGAGAACGAGGAAAGTGTTTTTTGAACAAGAGAGCGGGATCCAAAGCTTGATAAAGAAGTATGAAAAAAAGTAAACGGAAGAGAAGAAGAAGTTGCTGCCTTGTAGTAAAGAGCCCTCTCAAAGTAAAGGTGCCTAAAACAAAGCCAAGCAACCTTGAAAGGGCATTCCTTTCTCGTTTTACATTTACTGCGTCTTCCCAGCAGCCGCCGCGCGCTTCGCAGCCTCCTTGGCCCTCTTCTCCTTGGTCGCAATCTGCGCCTCGGCGCCAATGGCGCCAAAGACGAGGGAGACGCCGGCCCACTGCATGCTCGTTAGGCTGTGGCCAAAGGCGAAGACGGAGAGGGCCATGGTGACCATCTTGCGGGTGACTGTGACGGTGACGAGGAGGACCGAGGAGAAGGTGGAGAGGGTGTAGACTAGGGAGAAGAAACGCAGTGTTAGTAGGGTTGGGTTTACAAGTGCCACGAGGCAGAGAAAGTGTCACAAGGAAGAGAACAACATACAGATGAAGACCTGGCCGACGGCGCCGCACGCTGCGAAGCCGAGGACATCCCACCACACGGCGGGGTACCGCGCCATGAAACCCAGCGCGGCCGTCAGCTCGCCCGCGCTGCCGGCGACGTCCATGCCTAGGTACTCGCCGAGACCGGTATGGACGAGCCAGGGGCTGAGCACGAGGTAGCCCAGCGTGACGGCTGTGCTCATGAGGTTGTTGGCGCACATCATCTGCGGGCCGGTATACCCCTTGAAGGTGCTGAAAATGTAGTCCTGGGTGCTGTTGGTGAGGCCGTCAAAGAGCAGGTTGATGCTGAGGAGGAGCATGCCCCAGGGCATGTTGGCGTCCGGGTTGACGACGGACTTCTTCTTCTTGCTGCCCGAGTGTAGCGTGAAGACGGCGACGCCGGCCGTGACGCCCGCGACGACGAGATACTTGTACAGCGGGTATCGCTTGCCAAAGAGCGTCGTGTGGAGGAGCATGACGGGCACCAGCTTGCAGGATTTGGCGAGCAAGAAGGTGATGTAGTCAATGTGCGCCAGGGAGGCGTAGCCAAAGGGCGAGGCGAGGGAAGAGGTGACGGCGACGAGGGCGAGGGGCACGACGATGCCGCGCGAGGGGAAGACGGGCGGGAGGGAGGCGGCGTTGCGGGAGGAGAACCAGAGGTAGAGGAGGCCCGTCGTCGCGGCGAAGAGGGACTGGATCGTGTTGAGGAAGACGGGGTACTTGAAGACTTCGGGTTTGGACGTCGGGCCGTAGGGCGTCGTCGTGAGCTTCTCTTGGAGGTAGGCCCATGTCAGACTGTGCGAGGTATATTGTCAGCAATGCGCCGGGCGAAGAGGTATTCGGGGAGGCCATGGGACTAGGGGAGTCAAGAAAGGATCGAGGACGTACAACGAGGCGTAGATACCGCCCACAGCAATCAGGATTTGGAGCGCGCCGGCCTCCTTTGCCTCAACAACCGCAGACGCAGGCGTAGTGACAACCTTGCCATTGGCCTCTTTCGCAGTCACAGAAGTTGCAGCTCCATTGCTGTTGCTGGGCGTCCGCTTGAGAGTGTCCGCTTTGCTAAAGTATTCGGACGATGTCTGTCGACAGATAGGCGTGGCCTGCTTCGAGCGCGCCATTGCGTCGCTTTGTCTTTTTGGCCGGGGCTCGATTGGCACGTCGTGTTACGAAAAACTGTTGTCGAAAGACGGGAAAAGAAAGCTCGAGAATGGCTGCGCGACTCGATACTCGTTGAGCGTAGACGGTGGACGCGCGTAGCTAAAGGGGCGGAAAGGGAGCCGGGGAAACGAAACACTGCAAGGGAGCGACAACGACTGGATGCGAGGCTTCTAATAATGCAAGCTCGAGAGGAAAAAAAATCGTTTGTTGAAGAGAACGAAAGTGCTACGAAACCTCGAGCTTGAGCAGCAGCAAGATAGACACCCGAGATGGAGATGTGGACACGGAGACAAGCAGATGCAGACAGTAAACGTCAAAGGAGCAGCTGGGCAAATGACAGGTTGGCTTCATCCCAAAATAAAAATAAGGTGGACAGCTTACCCGTTGCATCTTTACCCCCCAGGTGCCCCCCGAACCACACAACCCACGCACACCACGCTGCACCCTTTCCGCCCAAGCCTCTTCAGGGTCCCTCCCCTCCACTGCGTGCCGCCGCCCTAACCTTATCAGGAACCAGCCCAGCCCGGTGTCTCCTCTCCGGATCGGCATTACAAACACTTGCCCCCAAAACCCCGCTTAACATTGGCCAATCACATCATGATCGCAAATTCATCCTGGAAGCGATTCGACACCTTCTAACCGCCCTTCTCAGCCTATGCTTTGAGTGAATGCCTTTGAAATTGACCAGCTACGTTTGAGGGTACCCCAGTCGATAGAGACAAGAACGCCATGGCTGCACCTTTACCATTTCCGATGATTGGACACCACAAGACTGAATGCCATGATCTCCAGTAGAGCATTCTTCCGACTTTGTTCACGACAAGTTTTCAAGACACATCAATGGCAACGAGACTAGAGTTGATGAGCGGCCTTGCTCAAACATGTAAATTCGCCTAGCTATGGGTCGGATGTACTATCTAGAATCCTCCTGGCATCGGAAGTCAATATCAAGAGAGTAAAGAGTTCCATAGCCCAAAAAGCGGCTGAAAAACACAGGCCGCTGGGGGAATCTTCGGTCCAGTGAGAAATCGTGGCGGGTTGGGGATGGGTAAACAGGGTCGGGTGTAGAGTTGCTGGCCGATTTTCATTACTAATGTTTTTTGAAGCAAGCAACTCTGCTTCGAAGAGGTATCCGCATGAGGTAATCATAAGTCGTGCCGTATGTTCGGTTTGGAAAGGCTGAATACAATCCCTGTCCGTAGACCTAGGGACCTCTGATGCCTGCCCAAACGTAGACCGGAGGACCATCCTCCCAAAAAGCAACTCAAAGCGTTCAAGAAGACGGAAAGTGAAAGTTATTGTGGTCCCACCCCGGCGACCATACTTGTGCGCGTGTCTGGGGATCCTTGGCCCAGATATTCGAAAGTCGAAGCAAAACAAAGCAATTGGAAAAAGCGTTTTGTCGCGTCCCAGAGATGATGTGCTGAAGTAAGACACTTCTCATCTCAGATATTGAGCCTTGCGGCCATTGTCTGCAAGTACCAGCTCCTGAGGCCGGATGACGAACTGAAAGGGGACGATTCTTAAAACGCTTTTTTACTCGGGAGAGTTGGCCGTCTGGCGGCGCATCTTCTCCGCCTCAAGGTTCTCGTAGAGCAGGAAAAGGGCAGACTCGTTAGCCTTGGCGGTACCCATGATGGTAAACATGCGTTCGCCACTCTCATCGTGGGGAGCCTATACAAATTAGTTATCTTGAGCATGGACTTGTATGGTAAAGCGGTGTCATACCTTTGCGATAGAGATGCGGGCACCGGAGGTTTTGCGAATCTCTGAGATCTTGCTTCCAGCACGGCCAATGATGCAACCGACCATGTCAGCAGGGATGCTGATGTTCTGAGTCTGGAGCTCCTCGCCATTCTCGTCGTGGGTGGGAGGGCCTCGGGAAGCAGCATCAGAGTCGGAACGACGGCCGTAAGGACGACCACCACTGCCACCACTACCGCCGTTGTTGGTAGTGGTGCTAAAGTCGGCACCGTTTCCAGTGCGCATGACGCGGGGGGCAGAGTACTCGGAGGCGCGACCGCCGCCGGAAGAGTAGCTGTTCGAAGTGCCACTGATGGTGGAGGTTGTGCCCGGCTGGGTGCGAACGACAGGATTGTAAAGAACGGTGCCGGTGCCTCTCTGCCAATCGTCGACAAGACACTTGCAGATCTCCCAAATGGCACCCTTGATGCCCTCGGGTGTGCCTTGGACCTCAACGATGCGCTCAGTTGACTGGGGCAACATCTCCTTCTGGGCGACCATGCGAACGCCCGATACATCCTGGATGTGCTTAATCTTGAGACCTTGGCGGCCGATGATGGTACCCATCTGGTTATGGGAAATCAAGAGCTTGATGGCTGAGATTACAATGTCAGTGATGTCTTCTTTGCGCGCCAGATTAGGTAGACTTACGATGAGTGCCAGTGTTGGAGACAACACCTCCCATGCCCATGGCGGGAGCGCCCTCGAGAAGAGCGCGCGCGACAATCGCATAGGCCTCAGAAATGGCCTGGCAGCCACCGGTGATGGTGAGAACACGATCGTGAACGCCCTGGACGACCTTGCTGACACCAGCCTTGACGCCAGTCTCGTCGCGAAGCTCGGCGACATTCTTGCCAGCCTTTCCAATGATGACACCGGCCTCCTTGGAGGAAACGATGGCTCTCAGAGTGAGCTGAGAGCCGGCGTACTCCTCGTCGGTGCGGGGCGCGGGCTCTCCGTCAGGGCCAAGACGGGTCTCTCCGTCGTCGAGCTTCAACTGGTCGAGGGAGCCGACGAGGTCGTTGCCGTTGGCAGCAATGTTATCCTGAGTAGCGGACATTTTGAGCAATTCGAAAAGTGCTTGGGGCAATTGATTCGAAAAGGGATTCTAAACAAAAAAGCGCAATTAGTACAATAATCCAACAAATTGCCCAAAAATTGGTGAAAAGAAAGTGGTGTAGTTGGAAGAAAGAGTGAAAGGCAAGGGAGAGTAAGAGTCCAGATTTTGTAGAAGTTGTGGTTTTCCCGATAGTCCAGGGCAAGCGCATCGACTTCCCCACCCGAGGACGCGTGAAGGTGAACAGCAAAATCGACACTACCTCCAGGCCGTGGCCGTGGCACGTAACTGTGGTAGTAGGAATTTTTTGTACCATATAGAGCGTGACTATTTTCAGGGTCACCTGTGCCTGACCCTGACCCGTCCTGAAATCGTGGACGGATTGATGCCAGGAGCTCTTGCACATACAAAGTGGGGGTAATGATGGCGCGGGGTGGTAGTTTTGTGTGGTGCAACTTACTGTGGTATTTTCCTGAACTTTTAATCAGGAAGGTACTGGCTGCAAGTGATGGCGCTGACGTAGAAGCGTGAAACTTGTAGAAATTCAGCTGTCAAGCAATTAAGCAGGACGTTAGCGAATTGAAACCGTAGAGCGGAAGCCTCGGTCTGTAGAGGTTGGTAGGTTGGAGTGCGTTGGTGCAGCTCGTTCGCGGTGACGGATGTGTAGTTGCGTAGTGGGTGGCGGGGAGGATGAGGTGGTGGATCGGGAAAGTTGAGAGATGGAGGGGTAGAGGAGTAGACGGGCGAGAGGTAGAGGCGCTCGGGTGTGGGCGAGAGGTTGAGAGTGGGAGTGGAAGAGTTGAGTAGGCGGTCGTGAGAGGAATGTTTTGGAAGAGTTGGTGAGGTGAAGAGGTGGAAGAGGTGAAGAGTTGGGGGCCGGGAGAGAAGTGAGGTTGGTCGTGGAGAAGTGAGGTGAAGGAAAAGAAGAGTGGGAGTGGAAAATGGGAGGAGAAAAAGTCGGTAGGTAAATGTGAGTGTGTGAGAGCGATGGGAGGGAAAGTGCGCCTCAGTATTTTTTTCAAACTCCTTCTTTTCTGGATGGGCTGGGAAAAGCAAAGGTAGAAGGTACTTACGATAATGTGAGTTGGAGGAGCAAGACAGGTGTACCCGGTCTGGCTATTAAAGGTCTCTGGAGGTGGTGGTTGTGTAAGGTACCTAAGCTGTGGTCGGGTGTCATGGAAGTTGTGGTGCAGGAGGTACCTTATGGATACTTGAGTGGAAGTAGGTAGGTAGGTAGGTAGGTAGGTAGGTAGGTAGGTAGGTGGTCGAGAATGGGTCATGTAAGGTAAGAAGGTAAGGTAGGTGTGCTGGGGAAAGAATTGGGGGAGCTCGTCGCTGGAAGATGGAAGGGACTGATCTGTGAGGGGCTTGAGTGGGCAGGAAGACCAGGTAGGTACGACAGTGAACAGAGGAAAGCGCATCCAGACCTCAACGCTGGCTACCCAAGACCCCACCCTGCAGCGATTGATCACGTGTACCTCATCGGCGGAAGTTGGCCGTAGCAATACATGTCGTAACGCTAGGGCCATCGTCACAGCAAGTATCCTGCCCCTCCTGCACATGCTTCCCGAGTGGTATCTGGTCTGTACATCTTGAGGTATGGAAGGTAAGGTAGGTAGGTACTTCACCTTGGACGGGACCCCTCCACGCCACATGAAGCTTACCTACCTTAGTACTTGGGCTCCTTCCTTTCGAGGGGCACTCACTCACTCAACCTTCAAGTTTCCGTCCGGGCGGGCTTCAAGAAGCTGGAATCACCCACCCCCCACCTCATTGCCATTTCCCGTCTTCCCTGTTACTCACGGATGCGACCTTGGACATGCGGCAAGATCAGGTGTGAGGTAACGACGGAAGATGGAGGAGACGAGACACCAAGCAACTGCCTTGCATCCAAGCTCTGTCCCCTCCAAAACCCCTCGACTGTCTCAATCTTTCGCCTATCGGCCACCATCACAGGCACGCCATACACCCAAGGACTGCCTCAATGGGCCTATCCATCTATGTCTTCCTCTGTCTCTCTCACACCACTTACACCTCATCAATGGTGGGGTGCAAACTTTGGCTCGGGGTCCTCGTTCAGGCGGCCTCTTGAAGTACATGTGAGTAGTACCCTTACATACTATTGTAGCTCTCCTTCGGACTGATCCCCGTCAGGGCACACACAACAGGGAAGAAGCATTCCTGACCGTCTCGAATTGTCTTCCATTCCAGGGTTGAATCTTTCAACGTAATGCGCATTGCTAGCCTACCTGGGATCTGGTGCCAGTAGTGCCTGACCCGGCCGCGTCGGACCTTTCGCTGGCGAGCTTTCAGATCGAACAAGTGTCCAATCCAACTTGGCATATGTTGCTCAACTTGCGACACGCGACATGCGACCAGACGGCTCTTGTGGCCATCACTCGTCTCGCTCGGATCGCAATCGCAGTCTGCACCTTAGTGACAGATAAGTTCCTCAGAGCTGTCGCAGGCTCGAGCCGCTGCGCATCAAGCGTCCCAAGCTCCAGGAGCTGACCAATTCCCCAAAAACCTCCTCGGCTCCTCCAGCATGGAACCTGAACGCCCCGATCAACAAGGGAACTTTGCTGCTCCACCCGTCAACACGTTGCGGCGCTGCAGTGTGCGTCAACGGTGATCCAGCGCGGGTACAGATGACTTTGATTGCTTGGCTCCCCGCCATCTTTTCCTTATTTACACGCCGAGCGAGCGGCCGGCTAGTGCGGGCGATACTTTAGCGAAACGGTACCGACAGATCCAACCTCCCACTCGTCCCGGTCTCAAAACGCCGTCCGTCTGTCAAAATGGCATGTCAGAAATCCCATTGGAGTTTGCGCCTGCGCCGCATTGACTCAGCCCATACAAAGTACATGACACCCAGCATTCGTATATCTGTCAAGTTTCTCGGCTTTCCTGCGACAGAACAGAGCTCTCTATCTGGTGTAACTCGAAGCCACACACTTTGCTACCCGGACTGCACGGGAAAAAGCAATCAAGCCCTGTTATTCGTTCAATGCCAGCCTCCCCGCTAACCGGTCACCATACGATGCCGTTGCCGATATTCGACTAGTGTCCGGCCATCCGTCGCTGCTGAGACCCTAGCTCTCAGAGCCGCGATGCCAATGGACAGTCTCTGAAGACTTTGCACCTTCAGCACTCCGGATTGGCCGACCGAGGCAGCTCAACAGCGGGGTAGATCGTACTGTCGACAAATCCAACAGCAGCCCTCTCATGCCATTCACTAAACATTACTGCATTGTACCTCTTCCTTGCTCCTTGATAAGCTACAGCTCAACTCGAGCTACCTTGCCTAGGTAGAAGCAGTATGCACGGTCGGCTCACCGACGTAGCCGCTACAGAAAACTCGGTCAGGATCCTATCCCGCAACTTCTCGCCTGGCCGTCCTCTAAGAATTAGTCCACTGCCGCAAAGATAGGTCGAGTCGATTTCGCGCCATTTCAGTTCGGGGTGTCGCTATGCCCGAAGGCCTCTGCAGTAAAGCTTCTCCTGTAGAGATGTTGAATTGCACGCGACCACAAACGACCACAAAAGCGACCGTGATACCTTGATATCAGAAAAACCTAGCAAGCGCCAGGGCGTCTACTACACTGATAGAAACGCGGAGGCCCGAGGGCGAAAGACTATGACCGGTCACGGTAGAATCAAGCAGGCCAGTATTGCTATGCTTCATCGCGTCAAACGCAGTAGGCACTTCTCAATGCGTCTGTGATAATGTTCAGCTATGCATCCACAATCAGAAAGAATCACGTTTCGCCAGTGGAGGCGACTACATCTAGATGCACTTGATATTTGGGAAAATACCTAGCCGCCCAATCCATGTAAATGAAGCACTCGAGGTATCAAGTATGTGCAGTGCAATTATATACAAGATGCGAGGTAAACCCCATCATCCGCCATTACGACAACCTCTCCCCTCTCTGTCTCCCTTCACCTCTGCCGCAGTTGCTTCTCGTGCTCAACCCAAAAGTTCTTGCAGGCCCTGTGACCCCAATGCTCAACCCACCACTCCCCAAAGCTGTCCTCGACCTCATGGTCCACCTTGCTCACCCGCTCGTCGCGCTTCAGGCCGCAGATGACGCACGGCTTGGGCGCAGTAGGGACCACCTTGGCCGTCGAGACGGGGATCGTCTCGTTGAGCTCGGGCACGCGGAGCTGGTCTCGCGGGTTCTTGGCGCCGGCGGTGGAGTTGGCCGCCGCCACGGCGGACCGGAGCCTGCCGACGTGCTCCCTCCACACGCCCACCACGTCCGCCGCCTCGCGGTCCTCGCGCGCCGATTGAGCTTTGTCCACGCCCGCGAGCTTCATGCCCTTTGCGCCGGCCGCGGAGATGGCCATGCCCTGGGACAAGAACTTGTCACGGTGCCAGCGGAGTTTGCGGCCCGCGATGACGCGGGCGGCGACGGTGGCGAGGAGGAGGTAGCCGCGGAGGAAGACTACCGTGCTCGGGTCTTCGAGGATGCGTTTCCGGATAGGCGCCGCTAGCTGGGATGTGGGCTTGAAGAGTGACGAGTTTGCGAGATCGAGTAGCTGCGGGAAGATGGAGAGGATGACGGAGGGAGGTGGAATGTTGATGGGCGGCGGGGCGTCGTCAGGTATATCTGAGGGTGCTGCTGGTGATGCTTCTTTCTTGGATTTAGGAGTTGCTTTCTTGGCGGTGCTGCTGGTGCTGGAGTTGGGAGCGGGAGCTGGAGTGGACGACTTGACGCCGTCGACAGCGTCCCAATCCCAGCTCTCCGGGGGCCTAGAAGAATCAATTGCAGAAGGCTCGTCATCGGGGAAGTCTTCAAAGTCTGGCCACTCATCCTCCTCCTGCGTCTTTTGAAGATTGGTGGTGGCAGAAGGCTTCTTAGCGGCGGGCGGCTTCGTGGGCGAGGTCTGTCCGAAAGCTGGCCAGGCAGTGACGGGCGTAGGCGACGCAGGCTTCTCGTTCTTCTTTTCCTCCTTTTTGAAGTCACCATAAGTGGGCGTGGTGAGACCGAGTCCGGGAAAGGGATTACGTTCCTGGAAGGAGGGCGACTTGGGGGCCTGGGGGTACGGCGATGTGGGCGCGTTGAGATTCAAGGAAGAGAGCTGAGGCCTCTTTTGTGGAGGCTGCGGAACCGGAGTAAAGTCGTCGTCGAGAGAAAGGAGGTCCATGGAAGGCGGTTGCTGCTGTGGGGGCTGCGACGGTGGCTGCCTTTGGGTTGGTGGCCTTGAATCCAGGGTCGGGCTCATGTCTGCGCCGGGGAAGGGAGTCTGAACAGTCTCAAAGTCTCCAAATCCATCATCGTCATCGTCATCGTTGTCTCCCTGAAGCTCAAACTCTTCCGCATCAAAAAGAATGTTGGGATCCGACTGTTTGGCTGGCTTCGGACTCGGCTTCTTCTGAGTCACGTATATATGACTAGAGAATCCAGGGCTTGGCTGCGGCTTCGCGGAGGGCGTCTGGGATGAAAACCCTGGGCTAACTGCCGGTTTGGTGCTCGCAGTCTGCCACGATAATCCGGGACTAGGTTGTCGGTTTGTCTGCTGCCATGAAGATCCTGAACCGGCCCCGGCTTGCTGGTTCGGCGACGGGAGGCCGGGACTGGGTATAGGCGACAGGCCCGAGCCATAGGGCATGTCGACGACGTTGACGAGGTTGTTGGTCATGAGATCGAACGTCGAGGCGCGCGCGATTCGGTTCCTAGGCGGCGGTGATGACCTCGCCTTGTTCGTCTGCGGGGGCATCACGAACGAGCGCTGAGTGGGTGTAGGTTCCGCAACCTCAAAGTCACCCCATCCCTCATCGTCCTCGGCGCTCTGCAGATTCTGCTTGGGCTGCTGATTTGAGGTCGACGAGGAGGTAAAGCCTGACGAAAAAGCGCCGAACTCACCCCATCCTCCGCTGCTGCTACTGCCGCCGCCGGCAGCACCACTTGGTTGCTGCGGCTCAAAGCTAGGCCATGGCACGGTTTGCTGAGCCGGGGTGGTCGCCGCCGCAAGCTTGCTGCTGACGTTGTTGCTGTTGCTGGTAAAGGAGGCAAAGTCAAAAAGGTCCGTCGACGATGCCGTTACTTGCTGCGGGCGTTGCGGCTGTACTTGGCCTTGTTGGCCCCCCGATTGGTTTTGTTGTGACGGAGGGCTCTGGTAAAAGCTGTCGAGGTCCAAGAGATCGGCACTCATTGCGTCGGCTTCGTCACCTCTGGATACACATGCTTTCTGACCCAAGTTGATGATGGGATCGTGTCTGTCCTCACAGGACTTGAGATCCGAGGATGAGAAGGAGGGGAAGAGATGCTGATGTTGAACGAGTAAGGATGAAGGAGACAAAGGAGGTTTATCCGTACGCGTAGATTGGGACGGGATAGGTGACCTCTTAGGACCAGGTTAATCAAATAGGGGATCGCCCGCTCGGTAAGAGGCACCGGTCAATGGGGCTGAGAGGCCAAGGGAGGTTCCACGGGGCCGGGATCGACTGGGCGGATGATTTGAGCTGAACTTCTGAAGTGCGGGATTGGGGGGAACATCAGAAGGCGACAGGGCCTAAAAGGCTCGGGTACTTCCTTGCAGAGCGCCACAGCCACAGCTACTACCTTACTACCAGATCCTTGGCCAAGACTTGACCAAGACATGCACGGCGAGTCCGTTCTTTGGGCCAGCCAGCCCTACAGCACGGAATGCTCTTGTTACAGAGTATGGAGAATACCTAGCTTCTCCTCTCATATAAACTTATAAGCCGTCATAAGATAGTGTCCGTAAGTGATTTGGTTGACATGGAATCGATCTCTATTCTTCAGACTTCGTTATTGGCCATAGTGCACACTAGGTGCCAAATCTTCTTATGATGGTTCTTCGACAAGAAAAACATGTGCTGATATCTATGCAACAGCTAATTCAAACATGATATTTGATTGTAATTAGCAGTTGGTTCAAATAACGAAAAGATCGATGTGAAAGCTCAAGATCAGCAGGCGACACTCTTATGACGGTCCCCCTGGCATTCGGGTGGCGCTGTCAAAGGTCGGCACGGAGCTTAGACCACGCCGATTACGTGGGGGTCTGGCGCAGAAAACTCCAACTGAGCTCCTAAAATTTCGAGGCCAGGGGTTGAGAGTGTCTGTCGGTCCTTCATCAACAAGCTTCCTACCCAGTGTCGACTCCTTTGCGATCGCCCACCATGTCTTCGCGAACGCTGGCATCGCTATGCCCCAAGTGTCATTTGACATTGCGACCGCAGTCCTTCCCTCGCTTGACGACGTCGCCATGGTATACACAAAGCGCCGGCTTCCGCTCAGCCACCAAGGGGAAGCCATCACGGATGGTCCTTTCAGACGATGTTGCACGACCCCGAAACCGAGATGCCAGACCGCCGCGACGACAAGTGGAAGGACCGTTTGGTGGTATGAACCAGACCTTTGCGAGAGTACCCGAAAAGCGCACGACACGCCCCACCAACGCGAGGGACTCGAGGGACTCGAGGGACGGGAGAGGCTCTTCAAACAGGTACAACAGAGGCGATTCCCAGACCTCTTCCGACCCGAGAAAGGCTTTGAAAATGCAACGGTCCCTGGCGGGAGTCTCGTACGGAAAGAGAAACGTTCTGAAAGACAAGATGCAAGAGTACGAATCATTCGACCAATTCAACCTCCTACCCATAATGAAGGACGGTATCAAGGACGACCTGCTGCGAGGAATGGTGGAAATCAAGCCGACGCCCATCCAGAGACTTGCTATCCCAGCCATGCTGGGTCAGGCTAGCGCTTTCAAAGTCCGCGGCGAAAAGAGGCAAGACTTTCTCCTCGCAGCCGAGACCGGTTCTGGCAAAACGTTGGCGTACATGCTGCCGGCCGTCAACGCCATGAAGATTGCCGAGGAAGCCAACCCTGAGATCCAGTCCTTCATGAAGCGCTTCCAGGAGGAGAAGGAAAGAGAACAGAAAGCCAACAAGGGGCCCAAGTCCAAGAAGATGTCTGCATTCGACGAGCCTCACCCGACCATGGCTAGACCTCGCATCATCGTTCTGGTCCCTTCTGCAGAGCTTGTGGAACAGGTTGGAAAGGTAGCCAAAACGCTGTCGCACGCTGTCAAGTTCAAGGCAGAGGTTCTATCCGCCAACCTCAAGGCCCTGACGATCCAGCGCAATCTGTACTCGCCGCGCGGTGTCGACATGGTTGTCACGACGCCTCACCTGCTAGCCTCGATTGCCGAGTCCGATCCCAATGTCCTCTCCCAAGTCACCCATCTCATTGTCGACGAGGCGGACTCGCTTTTTGACCGAAGCTTTGCCCCCGTAACCACGACCATCATCGATAGGGCGATGCCGTCCTTGAAGCAGTTTATCCTCTGCTCAGCAACAATTCCCAAAAGACTGGACAACTACCTTGCGAACAACTTCCCCAACATGACGAGAATCACGACGCCAAACCTTCATGCTATCCCCAGAAGAGTTCAACTCGGTGTCATTGATGTTGTCAAGGACCCTTACCGCAACAACAAGAACCTGGCCTGCGCTGATGCCATCTACACTATTGGCCGAGAAGCTTCCAAGCACGAGGGCCCGATCCAAGGTGAAATCGACGTCCGCCGAATCATGGTGTTTGTCAACGAACGTGAGAAGACAACCGAGGTTGCTGAATATCTTCAATCCAAGGGCATCGACGCTATTGCGTTGAACCGGGACGCAGCCGAGAGCCGCCAGTCCGAAATGCTGAAAGCCTTCACTTCCTCAGAACCCCTGCGCGCTGTGTCATCGCCAGAGGCCCCTGTACCAGGCAAACGATCGCTTCCCAACACCAAAGTCATTGTTGCCACCGACTTGGCGTCTAGAGGTATTGACACCTTGGCTGTCCGCCACGTGATTCTTTACGACGTCCCGCACACCACCATCGACTTCATCCATCGCCTGGGAAGAGCTGGTCGCATGGGACGACGTGGAAGAGGCATTGTGCTCGTTGGCAAGGACGACAAGAAGGACGTCGTTGCCGAGGTTAAGGAAAGCATGTTCATGGGCCAGGCACTTATCTAGTGACCACTCAGGACACGGACAAACATTACCATTGTACAACAATCATGTAAAACACCATGTATACCACTAAAAAAACAGATAGAGTCGAGGTAAAGGGATGGGATGATGCACAGATACCTGAGATACATTCGGCTCAGCAGACATGGCGAAGAGCGAGGTCTCAGCTCCCTAATGAAACATTTTCTACCAACCAATAGACCAGGCCATTACTAGCAACACGTCCCTTCGATAAACTTCAGATAACGTCATGCATAATGAACTGTGAGTCTGTGACAGCTTGTTGACAGTTTCTTCAAGTCAAATTGTGGCTAGTGGTGTGGCGCTAGCTCTCTGCTTTCAATTTGGGAGTGGGTCGCGAGCTTGGCCCTGCAGGGTTGGAGTTCGCGACGCGTCCTGCCTGCAGGCGTTTCCCTCCCACACCACATCAAAATATCACAGACCCTCGCCCGTCTTATCACTATAGGTCGTAGCCTGACGCCCCGGTCCAGATATTCGTGAGACAATTCTTCACGACAACTTTACACAGTATTGATTAGCTGTCACGCAAGGCTTTCTTGAGCTTCCTTCGACATCGACCGCCCACCATGCCACGACCTAAACGAGCGCGTCGCGCACCAACCCAGCCAGTCGCAGCCGTGCCCGCCGCGCCTGAAGCAAGATCGAGCCCCGCGCCCGCGTCAGGCAGCGATATCTACAGCCACAGCGATCGCGAACATTCTGTCATTAGGAAGGAGCTTGCAGAGGAAGACACATCTCTTTTCAAGGAAGGTCCGTCTACGCGTCTAAGCAGGAGTTCCAGCTTGCGCCAGAGGCAGGTGCCAGACAAGGCGGGTCATGCATGGGACGACAACGTGAGCAAGCTGGAGGACGCAGCCGAGACGGCGGCTTCCAAGGCAAAGACATCCAGCGAACAGCAAAAGTCGGATTCGTCGGTCGAAGTGGGACGGAAGACGCGTGCGACGCCAGTTCAACAGCGCAGGGATACGACGGGGTTGGATTTGGACGACGAGATGTTTACGGGACTTGACACGACGCTCGGCGACGACGACGACGATGCCGCTGCACCTCCAAGTGCGCCGCGATCCGAAGCCTCAAATTTTAGTGTGAGCCACTTTAGACGGAGGGGTCGCGCGCCGAGTATTAGTATCAACAAGGACGATGCGCCCATTAGACCAAGCAGTCGCGGAATAGGTGGAACGCCTAGTATCAGCTCGACCTTCAACATCGGTCTGTTTAAACGCCGTCAACGCGAACCGAGTATTCTGGGGACGGCGCAGAAGGAGCGCGCACAGCGGCCGATTGAGGTGTCATCCGGATCTGAGTCCGATGATGAGGAAGGTGAAGACTTTGAACCCGAGGCCGAGTCGACACCTCTTCAGAATCGCCGCAGAACACAGCCTCCTCCCGCAACCGAGCTCGAATCAGAGTCGCAGCAGGTTCTAGCGCCGGATTCTCAGCCCGCCGCGAAAGACGCTGAGCCGACAAGCGCCAGCTCACGCAAGCGAAAGAGCATAGAAAGCCACGAAGATACTGAGCGTCCGGGAAAAGCGTCACGCACTGAACCCGAGCCCGCGCCTGAATTAGATGATGATGACAGTGATTCGGCGCTCTCTGAGCTGCCTTCTCCTGTTCTGACTCCCACGAGGCCGTCTGCTTTCCCGCGGCCAGTCACTCCGAATCAAGAAGACATCATGGCACCTCCTGAGAGCAGTGACTCGGAAGATAACAATGAGGCGTGGCCCGACATTCGTACACTTGCCAAACAGCGTCGTCGCCAAGCGCCAGCCACACCAACGCGAGATGGCAACATCTCCGATGCTTCCTCGCCACCTTCTCTCACCCACTCGCCCAACTTCCCAGCGACAAAGAACAAGTCCAAGCAGAAGAAGCAGGCCAAGGCGCCCAAGGTCACGACGGCGGATTTGACGGGCATGCTGCCGCGCAGACGCTCCAAGAAGAATCGGGACCCTTATAGCGTGGGTGGCTCAGAGGATGAGGGGGGACGCAACTCCGACGCCTCCCAGGATGACGACGAGCTTTCATACGCGGATACAAGGACTCGCTCACGGCGGGCGAAGACGACACCTCTCAAACGTAGCACGGCTAATAGGCCACCATCCCGTGGTGGTCGAGCCACTGCGGCGGCCGGCAAGGCGAAACCAGCCGCACCTAGCACTCGTGCGTCAACGCGCACTTACAGCCGCAGGCTCTCGGACAAGGAGAACGAGGGCGAGGGTGAGGTTGGGGGCGAAGCAGAGGCAGAAGGGGCAGAGGCAGAGACTGGAGCGGAACCTGAAGCGGGATTCGAGGGTGACAGCTTTGCCCCCATTCGAGACGACATTCTCGAAAGCCAAGAAAGCAGCGATCCCGCGCGTAGTGCCGACGAGCTGAAGAAGGCAACGCGCAAGTTTAGGGAAGTTGACCGCTGGCAGCTCGAGTTTGAAGAAATGACAGAGGGATCATCGCCCAATCGAGATGCGCGGTAGGAAGAGAGAGGAGGGGCAAAATTGTGTTCAATATACCTTACTTTGACGGATTGCTGGGTTGGTGGAACAAAATGGAAGGCACGGTGTTTCTGAGGGACAGGGTGGGAGTTTTTTGCGCATGTTTATGTTGATGAAGCCTGCAAGGTCTTGTTCCGATTGGGTTGGGAGGTTCTCCTCCGTGGTTTAGCTGATATTGAGCTCTAGCGTATACGCTGCGTTGTTATACATACCTTGTTGACAGTATGTCGTCGATGCGATTCATTATTTACGACTCCCCAAGACGGACTGCAGCCAAGTGACAGAAACAGAGCTTAATCCACTTGTTTTTCACAAGAAGTGGTCATTTGATCTTCTCGAGGCAAATGTGATATAACTACAATGCCGTAAAACTTTTTCCTGGTTCGTCCGAAACGCCTTTCCTTGACCCAATAACGCCGGCCAGCCCCCTCGCAAGGAGGGATATTCCTATGAAGCAATACGCGAGGGATTGAGAATTCTGTCTTTACTTCTTGAGGAATACGCTCTGTACCGTCTGCTCCACAGTTGGCAACAGGTTGTAGAGTAGGTTTGGATCACGCAGCGCGATGACAATGTCGTCTGGCAACCTACCCTCCATGAATAGCGACTTTGCGGGGTTGTTCGTTAGCATTGCAGGTTCCAACTCGAGAAGGTTGCATGGCCTCGTCTCTCGCATAATAGAGAGAGAAAAGGGAAAAAGGGAGCAACACGGAAAGCAAAAAGAGACTCACCCGCTTGACGCTGTCAAAGCTATCCTCCTTGGCCGTGTACTCCCGAATGACCTCGTCCGTCTCAAAGTCGACGTACACCCTCGTGTCCCGGATCCGTACGAGTACATTGTCGAGGCGCATGAAGAGCCTGCACAGCAGCAGCATGCGCTTCTCGTGCACGCGGACTTTGACGCTGACAATCGAGATGCCGTTGTCGTCGAGCTCGCTCTCGAAGAGCACCACGTCGTCGAAGAAGAGGATCGGGTCGCGGCGCTTGAGGAGCTCGAGGGGGATCATCCTCGTCGTCGTCTCCTCAAGTTTGTTCTTGTTTCCCTGCGCATCTTCCTGTTGCACACCCGCACCCGCACCCGTCGCACTGCCTGCTGAAGGCTCCTCCAGTGTCCCCCGGTACTCGGTCGAGTAGGACCAGTCATACGGCTTCACGACCTCCTTGATGCCCGCGCTCGTCTTCTCGCGCGAGGAAGACCAGTCGCGCGCGTAGGCGACCTGCAACATCTTCTTGTCCGTCTTGTCGACGGCGTCGAGCGCGTCGTAGGCGTTGAAGGCGATGGACCAGCCCGTCGGCACGTGGGACACGGAGACGAGGTTGTCGCCAAAGATCATTTCAGGGACGGGGATGCCGAGGGAGGCCGTCATGTCGTCGATGGGGCCGGCTTTGGAGATGGGGAGCTTGCGGGAGGCGACGCGGAAGTTACGCTGGGTATGGGTTGTCGTTGCGGCGGCGAGGGCGGAGGGGGTTGGGAAGGGTTCGTTTGGGTTGGTTATGTGGTTCATCTTGGGCGACCTTCTTCTTTTCTGTCCTGCTTATTGATTTGTGAGCTTGGGAGGAACTTGAGAAGTGCGCGCGCAGGCGGGCGTTGATGGTAAGAATGAAGGACAAGTTTCGCGGAGGGTTGAGGATTGGAGGTGGTGCAGCTCGGATCGGAGGTAAAGTTGCTGGCGTGCAGTTGGAGCTCTCGTTCAGTTGGGGGAGGAGAGAGGTGGTGATGGTGGGGTTGGCGGGGAACACGAAAGAGTCTCGGGGCCCGGATCCCTGCTTGTCTCGGTGAGGGGAGGGGCCGGACGTCACTTTGCGTTACTCACCGACTTACACCGAAACTGATCGAGTATAAATCGACTTGATCAAAAATACAAAAGAGTTCACCCCCCCGGTGCCGATTGGGGGCTATATCTCTTGGTGCTCATGCTGGGATTCGAACTCGGGTACTCGCTAAGCCTGTCGTCGAGTAGGCTGCTTGGTGTAGAAATTGATTGTTGGCCATTAACCGTTCCACCACCACGCCACAGTTTGACCTGACCCTCGACCTAGAGGGCGCCTGCTGTGCTGGTGACAGGAATGGACTTGAGGGGGCATATGAGGCCTTCGCATGATCGGATGAGATCTGGGTACGTATCTCCACTATCTATAGATGCGAGCAATCCTGGGGCTTTTGGCCAAGCTACACCACCTTAACCGTGAACCTTCCCTTGAGTCAACACCCAGTGGGATACACAAAACCTAGAGTTATTGTCCTTTGTAATTTCAATGGAGGTATGATGTATTCGTTAGAAGTTCAAGGCGGACCCTGAGAAAGGAGGCCTCTTTTTACCGATATCGCTCGTTAGCTCCAAATACAACAACAATAAATATGAACTTCAGAATGTTCTACTGACCAATTGACCACCAAGGCTTCTTTACGCCGTCATTCCGTCGAGAAATATAAGAAATTGTTTCTATGGTTTCTCCACTTCGAGGCTCTTCAACCTCAAACATTCGTTTTCAACCTTTAAAATCCTGGCGGGTGAATAATAAGAGACCAATGAGGGAAGGACGGACAATGTAGCAGTATGCGTTGCTGCGTGAATACCTCGTTACTAAATCCGGCATTCTAATGTACCATCCTAGAAATTAGTGATGAACCACCCTCAGGAAATGCTAGGCCATTCACCATTGCTGGTGTAGTAGCCTCAAGCTAAAACTGTACCCAGCATGGCGCAAGTTTTCATCCCTATCTGCCGCAAACTTAACGATCATGGTGGCTTTCCTAAGTCATTTAGCGCAGCTGAAATGTACCTTATGCATGAATGTGCGGAAAGAATTGGCATCGGCTGGCAGTACTGCTTACCTTTATTAAGACAACTAATGATCAGAAATCCTATTTACGCTTGGCTTTCAACTTCAATTCTAGGAAATTATATATTCTAAAAGTTAGACACTGGAACGCAATGATGATAATGAACTCTATTGACTTGGCTCAGTAATCGGGGACGAGTGATAGCAAGCCACACAGCAACCAGGTCTTGCAGACATGATAGGCATCAGACCCCCTCAGGGGATTATAGGGTCTGACTGCCAAGCGATGAGCGCCGCCGACAATGAACCCTACTGCTTCTCTGATGGAGATAGACTTGTATGTTGCAAATTGATCCATCGCCGAAAGGACCAACAGGTCATTGGGTTGGCTCTACTAAGCCACCGGAAAAAGGTACCTGATAAATCCCAGTTAACGAACTATAGCTGTAACTCATGGGTATGGGTTCCTCCGATAGATCAATAGAGTGGTATATCAAGCGTCAAGATGCCTTTCCTAGCCACCAACATATTCGTTCATCTTTCATCTTTCTCGTATTCACGACCGATACTACATAAGGTAGACCACAGCAACTTTCTCGACAACCAAAAAGTTGAGGAATTTCACGATACTACACAAAGAAGACCACAGCAGCTTTACCGAGAACCGATCAGTTGAGGACTCTCAAATATGGCCCACTCTCAACAGCGACATTGGGGTCGACCTCTAGCTGGTCGACCTCAAGCTCCTCGACCGCGGTTCAACAGCCTCAGCCTATGTCGCAGCGCTGCTCCAACCACGAAGGCTGCCACGGCAAAGTCACCCGACAACCGTCTCTCTCCGTTGGACACGTTCCGAGCAATGATCGCGGAGTTAGGACCCAGCGCCAGCGTCAATATGCACGCCCTGTGCGACAGATGTGGACGAGTCCTCAAAGTTCTAGTACCAAAAGAATGGCTTGGAAGACTAGAAAGAAACGAATATCAATATCATCTTCCTTCAAGCCTTCAACCCCGATCCTTGGAAGCGTATCTAGGGGATATTCATCTCCGTATCTCTCCACAGGTTTGCCCTGGTAACGGCAATGGCAGCTGCCTCACCATGCGCACTCGCGAGGGTATAAAGACCTGGGAAGAACCCAAGGCGTTGCCGGAAACATCACCTGAAGTGGACCGGGCATGGCTTCAACTTGGCCTTCCGCCAGCTGTGGGATACCTGGCGGCTCCAGACTGGCAAGAAAAACTCCAATCCGCAGTGGCCGATGCTGACAGAAATGATCCTCCGGAGTCCAGGATAAGCAAATCCTGGCTCATCTACCTCCACTGGCGATGTGCCTGGCTTTTCTTCTCTCGGCGCAAAGGGGGCCTTAGGCACGAGAACGCAAAACTTGAGAGAATGTGGGGTCAAGTCGATGTGGACATACTGCTCTTGGGATTCGGCATGCTCGAAAAGGCAGATCTTGAGGCCCTATATTGTACAAGTCATTCAACTCTTGCGGGCTTGATATCTTGCAAGTGGCTATACGGGTCAGCCCTACTCAACATGTTCTTTGGGATTAGACGCGATATCGGGAAAGAACAGTTCAACCAGCTCAAGAGAGCCGTTCAGCGAGCTGATACGGCCATGGGGAAATACCTCTTGGCCTGCATCAACAAGAACGCTGTGGGGTGGCGCGTCCGACGGCAGGCTGCTTTCACTGCGTATCGGCACGTGGAGGAGCACTTGCACCATTACGCTAGTCCTTCGCAGCTGAGAGAATTCTCCAAATTGCGGCAGTCGCCACCTCCGCCCTCTGCCGAGTTGTTGGAGGAATTTTTGGCTGAGAAGGGGGGGCAAGAGCGGACTATGTATATTGGAGCTTCGGGACCTATTGAGCCCGGCAAGGGCGACAACAGATCTGATTGGATTCGCAATCGGGCCCAGCTGGTCACGTCGGTCCCCAACCGATGGCCCAGGTCGACAATTGCTGGAGTTGACAGGCTTCGTGCTTGTTAGATGTGCCCCTGAGAGCTTGGAGATGCAATACTCAGACTGAATGAGCCACAGCTGGTATGTCTTGAGCCGAAGCGGGACGTATATATATATGGAGAATCGTTGGAAGGAGAGATCGTTTCGAAGGACCACTTCATAGGTATAGAGGTGGTCTAGAGTACACGAGGTGGGGATCGCCTAGAAGTAAAGGTTCAAATACTGGTATTGGATTATAGCCAGTTGTAATTGACCTGTGTTAATTGCTCGCATTCTATTCTTTGCGGTTCAGTTGCTTTCCTTTGATATTCAGACGTCGCCCACACGTAGTCGATTGAATTCCTATGCCCAGAGGTGGTATAATCCAGTGACGTTCACTTTTAAAGCCTTGTTCAAGAAGTGCTGCCCTAGCGGTCTGAATCTTGAATAGCTATCATGGGGGAAGGAAGCTGATTTCACAGACTCCGTGCGTAAGGTAGGTTGTGTCGTCGTCGCATCTGCTCATCGCCGGCCTCCCAAAAAACAACACGGCTCAATCTAGTCGGCCGGGAGCCACGTGCACGGTGTCAAACATGAATGAAAGAAGCGAGTCAATCGAGAAGACACGGTCTAGCCAACATAGATCTTGGAACTTGTAACCATGTCAGACCAAGCTGACAGCGGCTAGCAAAGTTGAAGCGGTCGGTCGCCCAGGAAGTGGGAAGTGGGGGAGATCTGAAAGAGCGGGGCGGGTCGCTGCCCTGGTGCCGGCGCCGTTGTTCCCCTGGCAACCATCCTCACCCCCGTTGTTTAGCTTCCCACACCTAGTTCGTCCATCGTTACCCGAGAACCTTTCTTAATAACCTGACAACCAACTCTAGGTTCCTTGATTCAAAAACCCTCCAGTGCACTCTTTCTAACCAACAGGGAACATTCGACTTGCTACATCTCCATCCACTATCACATAGCAAGATGGCGACTCGGACATTGGAATCGCGCTTTGAGCGCATGTCGGTAAACGACGAAAACGAGCCTGTCGACGGCGGCAAGCTCTACTCCAAGACTCAGGTTGGTCTCGTCGGCATGTATGTACTTGCCGTGTGATATGGCTGACGATTGTCCCATAGACTTTGGTGAAGACATCACAGCTCTCCCAGAGCTCGAGTAGACCGAACCTAATCAAGGTCGCCCTCCAATCGCAGAGCACCAACGCTGTCGCCTCGGTAACGCTGCCATCACAAAACGCACAACGACAGGCCAAGAATCCGGCATCACCCGCCAGAAAACCCCTGCCGTCCAGCTCCTCAAGAACGTCCGACGAGGTTGTCGAGATCGAGCGCAAGTCCGGCGTCTCCATCGTCATCGAGCCCTCAATGCCCAAGGTCTTCCACCTCGGCATGTTTGAGATTGGCCGGCCCCTGGGCAAGGGCAAATTCGGCCGCGTGTACCTCGCGAGGGAGCGCACGAGCGGCTTCATCTGCGCTCTCAAGGTCCTGCACAAGAACGAACTCCAACAGGGCCGCGTCGAGAAGCAGGTCCGCCGCGAGATCGAGATCCAGAGTAACCTGCGACACCCCAACATCCTCCAGCTCTACGGACACTTCCACGACAGCAAGCGCGTCTTCCTGATCCTCGAGTTCGCTGGCAAGGGCGAGCTGTACAAGCACCTGCGTAAGGAGAGCAGGTTCCCCGAGTGGAAGTCGGCGCAGTACATTGCCCAGATGGCCTCGGCGCTGCGCTACCTGCACCGCAAGCACGTCATCCACCGTGACATCAAGCCCGAGAACATTCTCATGGGCATCCACGGCGAGATCAAGATTTCCGATTTCGGCTGGAGCGTCCACGCCCCCAACAACCGTCGCAACACCATGTGCGGTACCCTGGACTACCTGCCCCCGGAAATGATCAAGCCCGGTAGCTCGGACAACTACTACAACGAGAAGGTTGATCTCTGGAGTTTGGGCGTCTTGACGTACGAGTTCCTGGTTGGCGAGGCACCTTTTGAGGATACGCCCGTGATGACGCAGCGGAGGATAGCTCGGGCTGACATGACGGTTCCGTCCTTTGTCAGTCCCGAGGCCAAGGACTTGATCAAGAAGGTGAGGCGGCATTTATTCAAATTCAAGATTCACAGAAATGGATGCTAACATGATCTCTAGTTGCTTGTTCTCGACCCCGAGAAGAGAATACCCCTGGAGCAGGTCCAAACCCACCCGTGGATCGTCAAGCACTGTGTGAAGGGCGAGAGAGCCGCCAACCGTGAGAAGAGCTCCTAATTAATGACCCTTATGATTCATGCATACATACCATCAAGGCATAACGGCCCTTGTAGGATTACCGGCGTTTTCTTCTTCTTTGCGGTATTCAGGCGGGCTCTGATCTACAGCTTGGGGTTTTTCGGAGTGAGGAAGGTGTTTCCAATTGCATGTACGGGAGTTGGTGTTCTTAATGTCCGTCGTTTTCAGAGTATCAGAGTATCAAGAAACCCAAAGAAGCATAGTCATCATCCAAACATTTTGCTATATTCGCCGATGTTGGTTCCGTGAGAGTAGGAAGGAATAGTACATCAGTAAAGGGGGGTATTGTTTACACACGCTCGTTTTGTGAACGAGCCCAATTCTGTCGTCATCGTCCATCACCTGTAGACCTCGTCAAAAGGCCGCGTATCGCTGAAGCAGGACTCCCAGACCTGGTTCACCACCTTGGTCGCCTGCACATCATCCTTGCACCTAGGTCGGTTGAGGACGGACTGTATCGCTCGCTTCCGCACGCAGTCCTGGAACTGCTGAGACAGACTCCAGTTGCCTCTTGTAAAGGCTTCTCTTGTCCACCTGCACTCGCCACTGAGCATAGATGCTCGAATCTGCCGTCACGTCAGTCTAGTTTCTCCCTTTCTCTCCGGTTGTGCTCAGGATCAGCCGGCGCAGGACGCAGGAAACCTTACCTCTGTACACGCCGCATGCTTCAAATCCAGATCACCCATCCAGTCCACCTTCCACCGCAGGTGATCCCACGCGTGCACCATCTCGTGCGAGAGCGTGTCCTCCAGGTGCTTCCGGTCCCTGACCTCGTTGGCGCAGATCATGATGCCGTGGGCGGGGCTGAAGCCGCCCGACTGGCGGTGGACCTCGCCGTCCTCGGTCAGGCGCGCGGGGCATCGGCGGCACTGGATGTTGGACGCGTCGAGGGTGCCGTTGAGGCCGGCGATCTTCTCGTTGAGGAAGCGCACGGTCGGGGAGAAGGCGAGGAGCCAGTCGCGGTGCTCCTCGCAGCGCTTGCAGTCGCGCTCCTCGTTGGCGCGGTACCGGGCCTCGCGGTAGTGGAAGGCGCCCTCGGCTGTCATGCGGCCCGTGAGGATGTTGAAGTAGTTCATCCACCACTTTGTCTGCGGATCGAAACCGGTGCGGGCGGGGTCGTTGGTAAGCTCGCGCGGTGGTTGTTTCTGCTGTTGTTGCGCGGGTGGTGGTGATGATGATGATGATGCTGCTTGAGAAAGGGTCGCTGTGGAGGGGCCTGAGGGGGCCAGTGCCGCCGCTTGTTTGTCGTCGAGGATCGTCATTTTGGGCGTCGTGTGGTTGAGGTTTCAATTGTGCTTCGAGATTTGTCGCTGATTATGGGCGTTTACAACATGAGGATTGGGTGGTGGTTGGTCAAGGATGAAGGTCGTTGCTGGAAGATGGGGAATTTTTGGCCGTTATCGATAAGCCCTTCGATGTGATGGTGGTACTTGGCCAGAGGTACCACTTCATAGCGCAAAGACAATTGTTGCACTCCGTCGTCCCATGATTCCTTGCGAATCAAGAGAACGCAACATTCCTCCTATGCCATCTCAAAGCTTGTATCTTCTTTGAAGATCTCCACACAATGATCTCGCAAATGACTTCGAGTCAACCAATTGTTACCTGATCCTTTTGAACCATAAGTTCGATGTCCTAGCATCTTGCCGGTTGTCGTCACTGGCAGACCGCAGATCTACCGAGGGCGCGCCCTGTCCACTCAGCATGCAACGCAACGTGGAAATGACATGACGGGCGATTCAGCTCTATCTCTTAATCAAGACATAATGGGAACACCACGGGTGGTTTTTGGTTGGCAGGGATAATGGCAACAATGGGCCGGGCCATCAAGACCAACGGTGAAGATGCCCGGTGCACTACGGCATCCACCCCGGATTTTAGGGTCAGTATATCGCCCAATCACAGGTGCCTTTTACAGCCCAACTTCCGGGCGTTCTCCCGCCTTTCCTCTACACCGGACGATCCCGATGTCGGGCCAGTTTTTTTTTTACACTTCCACGCCGGCCCAGTCATAGGTTCAGTGAAAGGGGAAAAAAGATACACACGACCGGCAAGTCAAAAGACAACGAAAGGGCGCGGGAAATCGACCAGGGGCCTTGCACACATCACCACATCACAACCAGGCGGATCCTTTTTTTCGTCCCACAATTAACCAACTCGAAGCAACGGTCCTGGGCTCTGACTCTGGCAATGGCGGGAGCGGGTGGTCCTACGTGTAAGAAAGGGATCCAGTTATTTTTTCTCCCCTCCTACGTAATGCGCCTGGTGCCATTTGTTTGGACATCTCCTTGCGTTGATCGTAGCCGTCCCGTTCTTAACACTACCTTATTTAGACTTATTAGTTGATGTCTTCATCTCTCATCTTGGGGAACGGGCCGGATGAACATAGCGAGATTTGTGACTGACTTGAGATACTACCATCTGCAGACATGAAGCACCGTGAGGGCCGGAAACCTCTGACGGTGGTGCTGAAGCTCGGTGAGTCTTTCAAAAGTGCTGTACCCTTGATTGATCCATGCTAACTCATCCCGCAGGCACTAGCTCTATCGTGGACGAGAAGACACATCAGCCCTTGCTCTCCATCCTGAGTCTCATTGTTGAGACGGCTGTGAAGTTGAGAAAAGATGGTCATAGGGTGGTCATTGTCTCATCTGGCGCCATCGGCGTCGGTCTTCTTCGGATGGAAATGGACCGACGACCAAAGCACTTGTCAACACTACAGGTATAATCCCAGACCTACGGCCCCCGATCTCTGGCGTTGCTCAAGCTGAACAATCCTCGCAGGCGTTAGCGGCCATCGGCCAATGTAGACTCATCAGCCTATGGGACGATCTGTTCGGCCACTTCAGACAGCCCGTTGCACAGATTCTGCTCACCAGGAACGACATTGCAGATGTAGGCCTAGCCTAGAAACAGACAACTACCTAGGCAAACCACTGACATGCAACTGCAGCGGACACGGTATCTTAATGCCCAAAACACATTCAACGAGCTGCTCGATATGGGAGTCATCCCTATCGTCAACGAGAACGACACGCTAGCCGTCTCGGAAATCAAGTTTGGCGATAACGACACCCTGTCCGCCATTGCCGCGGGTATGGTCCATGCAGACATGCTGTTCCTCATGACGGACGTGGACTGCCTCTACGACAAGAACCCCAGAGCGCACCCCGACGCCCAGGCAATCGAGGTGGTTGAGGACATTTCAAGTATCCAAGCAGATGGTAAGCAAGCAGACATCCATCCCCCCCCCTCTCCATGTGGTGGAAAAGGGGGTGCCTCAGTCTCACCTAAGCTAACCCGACTTCTTCCCCAACTCCAGTCTCAACAGCAGGCTCCGCCCTCGGCACCGGTGGCATGATGACCAAGATCGTCGCCGCAAGGCTAGCAACCCAAGCAGGCGTGACAACCGTCATCACCCGCTCCTCGAACCCGGGCAACATCGTCAAGATCGTCCGCTACGTCCAAAGCCAGCAAAAGTACACCTCCTCTTCTTCCTCCCCGCACCTGGGCGCCGCCCCAGACGGCGAGGACCCCGATACACACCACGACGGCCACGACCACACCGAAGATCCGCTCGCGCAGTCGACGGCCTCCCTCCACATTGACCAAGCCGTCGAGAAACCCCCGCTGCACACCCGCTTCCTCCCCTCCGCGGACCCCATCCGCGACCGCCACTTCTGGCTCATCCACGGCCTGAAACCCCACGGCACGCTCTATATCGACGCGGGGGCCCACAGCGCCCTCCTCCGCAAAGCAGGCCTCCTTCCCGCTGGCGTCCTCGACGTCGAGGGCAACTTCGCGCAGCAGGAGGCCGTCCGCCTCGTCGTCGTGGACCGCCTACACGCGCCCAGCACCACCGGGAAGTTGTGGGGCGGCACGCCCGTCGAAGTCGGCCGCGCGCTCGTCAACTACGCCGCACCGGAGATCATGCGCATCAAGGGGCATCAGAGCTCCGATATTGGCGGTCTGCTGGGGTACGCTGACAGCGAGTACGTGGCGGAGAGGCAGCACATTCGCATCTTTGATCGGGAGAGTCGGCCGGTGACGCCGAGCATCGAAAAGGTCAAGGAGCAAGTCGTCGAAGAGGTAATTTCAGGTATCACAGGGTATGAGCAGAAGACATAGACAAAATAGTGTTCTTAGTAGACGCTCCGTTATGATCTACTTTTTTCTGTACAAGAGTTCGTGTTACCAGTGGCCGCGTATCCTTACCCTACGCAACGCCCCCAAAACTCCATAACCGTAAAACCCGCTCCAAGAATGATAACGCTTGCAATCTTTGATGGTGTATGGGACATCCCCACTAAGTAACGAACCTTTGCAAATCGCACACGTCTGATGAATCTTCGCATGCATCGATGCCGAGGCCTATGTGATGAACACTTTCTTAAGCTTGTCCATGGGGTAGACCTCGCCGGTGCGCAGATCCTTGACCTGATCTGATGGCAAACCAGACTTCTTCGCGTAATCCTCGAGGCGCTCTTTGCCATACGCCCGACTATTCGGCAGCAGCAGTAGGTCGTGCTCGACGTAGCTCTTGGTGTGGTGTGCGTAGGGGACGTTGCGGGCAAGGTCATTGAGCTCTGTTGAGCATATTGGGCAAACGGATTGCGTGCCTGCTGTGGCTGAAGCGTTCGTTGCCGTATTGGCGTCGGCAGCCACGTGCGATGAGTTTAGGGAGTGGCAGGCTGGAGTCTTGAGGGCCGAAAGCCCCGATGAGAGCGCAATGTGGAGGAGAGGATATGAAGGCAGAGCCAATAGACTGTTGTGGGTGCGGGTGAAGAGGTCGGCGAGGGTGTTCCACCGCTCTGGGCTGTAGAGGTCTGAGTACACGGCATTGGCAGCAGTTGGTGGAGAGGCTAGTAGACCAAAAGCCTTGCTAAGTTCGTCTGGATATGTCGCCTTGAAAGAAACGAGGTATTTCTTCGCGTGAGCGATGGCCTCCAGGAGCTTTGGCTGGGATTGGGTGCGGACAAGCTCGATATACTGCTGGAAGCGGAGCATGAATTCGAGATTACTCTGTTTGCACAAGGTCAGTCAACGTGCCTTGAGAGGTTGGTAATGCAGCAAGACGCACATCCATCTTCCGGAGCTCCTTCTTGTTATCCTGGCACCAAGCCAGTGCCTCAACCACACCTCCTCCCCTGAGTGATTCTTGAATTCGACTCATCTGAACGAAGGTCTCGACGTCGACCAAATCATCCATATTCCGCTCAGTTGTGAGCGCCTGCGCACTTTCGTTGTAACCATGGCGAAGCAGGTAGTCTACGAGCAAGCGGTCGAGACGGGCGCGGCTCCAAGCCTCATATTTGACGTCGTCGACGGAGTGCATGCCGTAGAGATCGCCAAGATGGGAGATGCGGGCACCGGTCTGACGGGTCAGACGAGCTTCTTCCTCGGCGTGAGCTGTGAGCTTGCGCTTAACGCCGCGCATGCGGGCGATCATGCTATCCAGGTTGCGGAGGACATCGTCGGGGGATGAGTTGCCCTTAACCGAGGCCGTGGCGGTCTCCTTCAGTAGGGTCTTGATGGCTGAAGAGTCCTTCTCGACGGTGAAGTGGGCGGAACGGAAGTTCTTTCGGAGGAGCTCGTACGGGAGTCGGAGGAGGGGTTGATCCTGTCGGTTGGAATGGAGGTTAGTGCGGGAACTGAACAGCTAGCTTCCTGTGACGCAGCGACGTACGAGGAGGAGATGGTCCTGATGCTTGATTGTGGCGTGCTCATGGTCGCCCATCTTGGCGACTTTCACGGACGAGGCAATGGACTGCCAGACCTTATTTGACGTCGTATTTCGCAGAAGAGAACTCGTATGCTGTTGTCGTCGTTATGGCTCGAAAAAGAACCCGAAGGGCGTCGGGTTCATTGGGGGCTTGTAGTTGGGAGGTCGGAGCACAGGTGCGCTGGTACGGCCGCTAGCAGCAATTGACGTTATGTCGCCGAACGTGGCGGGGCCAGCATCTTTCCGCAACGGAGCTGGTCTTTGGGGAAGCTACCTCACGATACTTAATGAGATGCCTAACCTTCCAAACTGCTTCAGATTTTCTCAGATGGCTTAGAGATTCTATTCATATGACAACAGTTAAGTTCTTAACTCCTATTCATCCGTTCTGCTGCTAAGATGCCAACCTCTTGAAGACCGACATTCCTATCCCAATGCCCATTGGATGCTTGTAGCACTCACTCTCCACTCATCAGTGACAGACCCGACATGAACGATTGTTCAGCACAGACCACCCATGTGGCTCATGTCTGCTTATGTAAAGACTCGGTCGACTTAAGTGTAAGCTCGGTCCAGCCACAACCCCGCTCTCCAAGGCCCAATCCCCAGCTCAGCTGTCACTTGCTACGACCAGCATTCGTAAGCAGATACGATGTGAGAGCTTGAGCAGAGGTAACACTGAAACGAGACAGACGGTGGCTAGCAACGGTCGAGACTATTTCGAAGCCGGTGTATCTGCTGTGCTTCTCTTCGAAGTGGAATGTCTCACAGTCCATCAGTCAAGTGATTCGTGTTGGCAGCCCACGGGAGCATCAGGTGATTGATGAGGCTCGGCATTTCGCGACGTAGACTCGTAGAGTACCTCACCCAAGTGGCAAGCGCACAGTAGATGGGTGTTCGGACTGGGTAGCTGAGGCTAAGGCAGGAGGATAAGCCCACATCTTCAGACCGGTCGAAGCTACCCCTGCAACACTCTACCTTACTCGCAGTAGCCTACCGGTCCATCGCTAACAAGGAGACAACGTGTCGAGCCGGCCAACAGTAAGAAAGTCGATAACGAGCAACAAAGGTCAACCGCATTTCCCAGGCTGGAGCGCTGTGCGGCAGGTGCCCCTCTTCGCAATGCGGATTGGCTCGGGGCAATCGGGGAAGAAGGCACCCACTTGGAAGCAACTGCCAGTGGGTGTGGATTCCCAGCCTTTGATTGGCTTTCGTCCCTTCTTGCCTCAGGAGTCAGGCGCATAACCTCCCTCTCGCTCAAGCGTATTTATCTCCAGCCTCACCCACTTTGCACGTGTTCACCCTTCTCCTTTGCCGCGTGACCAGAGCTTCCCGCCGTCGCTCCCCCCAAACCGACACGCCCAACTCAACCGGCCCCCTTCAGGTCAATACCTCCTCGGAAAATAATAAGATAAACGCAAGCCTTCGCCCAGGCTACGGCAATCCTCAAGAATCGCGATTTTGGAAAAAAAATAAAAAATTCGACGCGTTTCACTGCTCTTCCTTCAACTTTCAACCTCGACTGTTACTAACCAACTACACGGGCTCCATCCGACGAGGCCCCCCCAGCAGCCGCTGGCGCGCGATATCACGAGTTTGATCACGCCGACAACACGTGAACTCCAGCAAAACCCGTGATCTGGCTCACCGCCCAGACCACGCCGCAAAGCACATGATCTAGAGGTATGCGAGCTGTCCCATTTTTCTGACGATCTTCCCGTCTGCCCTATCGTCTCTCATCGCTATCACACTGCACTGCAACGGAAGCACGCTTCCGCATAAAGATTGCCTTTCCTCATTTGCGCTATTTTCGGAGATGCTGTCTTGTTCAAGCGCATCTCGCGATCTGTTGCCAAGCCACAATCAAGCGATTGTGATGGATGGCAATTCATCATCCGACGGCGAACATATCCTCTCATTTTCCAGGACGATTCTTTTTCCAGCAGACACGGCCTGTCAATCCATACAACCAAGTGTCGTCTCCTTGGATGAGCGTGGCGTATGCCGATTAAAACATATCCTACACCACGACAATCTCAGCGCTCATGCTGAGCCGTCAGCTGCGGTCTCGTCAATGCAAAGCTTCTCCTGCTACAAACCCTCCACGGCATCGAAGAGCAAGCGTTCCAGTATTTGCTCATGAGCAGCGGTCACTGTTTGAAGACACCACTCGGCTTCGATCAAATTCACATGCATCAGGGCTTACGGAGCGTTTGATACTCACTCATCTGCCTTGACGCGACCGTTCGCGCCTTGCTACTTCATGCTCTCAACACATGCAATTCCAAGATTCTTGATGCTAACCAAGCTTTCCTAGTCCCCGCTTCATTCAATTGAATCTAGCTTGAGTTGACGAATAGATCGTGTCTACTTTCCGCGGCTCCGCCTGTTCATTCTATTTCATTCTCACATCTGAATCCACGGTCTCCCCCAAAACTTCCAACCACAGCAACAATGGCCGACGTCATGAGCGAGCATCCTGACTTGTCAGAGTTGGCCCGCTCCCCTTCTCCTGGCCAGAAACGAAAGCGCGACGACGACTTGTCCGATTCGATGAGTCCCAGCCGAAAGCGTTCCAGTGCTGAAGGACTTTCAGATGTGGACACTGCAGCTTTCATTGAGAATGCTGTCGAGGCAGCCCATGCCGCTGCCCAGAATGGTGTCTCCGCCGCGGACTTCAGCGCCCTGCAACAAGCTGCCGCCGCTGAGCATTCCGAGGCAGCCGATCCTGCCAATGCTTCCAGCACCGCTGCTGCCGCCCTCGGATCCATGTATCCCACCCTTCATGTTCCTCCTACCACTGAGGAGCAGTTTGCTGCACAGTCGAGCAACGATCCCACCCACGGTCAAGACCATGGCTTCGGTCATGCTGACCTGAGCCCGCCGGACGGTCTCCCAGGTCTTCCTCCTGTACCTCAGCCTACGAATGGCCTCCAGTCTGTGCAACCTCAGCAATCACACCAACCCCACCAGCATCAGCAACCTCCCCCACCTCAGCACCGTTATTCGTCTGGATCAGCCGGCACTCCCGCTAAGAAACCGGACGTCGGCTCAGAGGAATGGCATAAGATGCGCAAGGATAACCACAAAGAGGGTAAGCAATGCAAAAGAAGATCAAGATGTAGTTGTTGACTAATCTAAACATAGTCGAGCGTCGTCGCCGTGAAACGATCAACGAAGGCATCAATGAGTTGGCCAAGATTGTGCCCAATTGCGAGAAGAACAAAGGCTCCATCCTTCAGCGTGCCGTCACATTCATCAATCAACTCAAGGAGAATGAGACACAAAACATCGAGAAATGGACTCTTGAGAAGCTGCTTACGGAGCAAGCTATAGCAGAGCTCAGTGCCTCCAATGATAAGCTGAAGCAAGAGTGCGAACGTCTCTACAAGGAACTAGAGACTTG